TAGTAGAGACGGGGTTTCACCATGTTGACCAGGATGGTCTCGATCTCTTGACCTCGTGATCCACCCGCCTCGGCCTCCCAAAGTGCTGGGATTACAGGCTTGAGCCACCGCGCCCGGCCCATACAATTTCTTTTGCATATGTGTGAATATCTTTCTAGAGTAGGTGTCTAGGAGAGAAGTTCTAGACTACTGGAGGTTTTCTGTATTCTACATTGTATAGGTCTGCTGGCATTGAGGATCCACGTCTGTTATTACTACTGAGAAAGGTAAAAGCTTATGAGGATTGTCTGGAGAGGTGATACTCTGGCCTAGACAGTACCTGAGCAAGCCCAGAAAACCATCAGATAATTCTATGAACTCACTGAAGTTTTAGTTCCTTCCTTGTAAAATTTACTAAGGAAACATCACCGTGATATTTTTAGTTGGCACACATTAAAGAAGCCAGCCATTCCTATTACATTCTGTTGTGATTCTTTCATTAAAAAAACAAAAAAACACTTCAGGTGACTTCTCTAACTTAAGATACTATACCTTTTCCATCATAGAGTGCAAGCCCTGAATTCTCCAATTCAGCCTCTTTGAGCCACCCTGGTGGGTACCCTAGCTGGCGCATCCGATAGATAAAAGGTGGAAGACTCTTGTCCGTCACACCTAGTGCATCTTGAAGTTCTTCACTAAGTAAAAATAAAGGAGGAAAAAAAATACTGAATTCTTGTTTGCATGAAACACATAATATTCTGGTATTTTAAAACATTTCTTATATTACATACCATGTAGCATGATGTCTAACAAATATAATTAAAATTTCAAGTGTTTTTGTAATGTATATTACCTAGGGCTTTGCCAGAGTACACTTATATCCTGATAATTACCCTGAAGATACACAGAACATTCCAAATGCTAGGGAAATAAAAATGACATTCTATGGTAAAATGCCGTTAGTACCTAATAACTCCTGGCTTGAATCTTCCAAATCTTTCTTCTACTTCTTCTGCGTGGTAGCGCTGCTGGAAATTCTGATTGTTTGCTTCCCCACAGGCATCCATATACTCTTTTCTCTTTTCACTTATTCGAGCAGCATTCCGGGGCTACATCATGACACATTTGAAAAGAATGGTGTCATGCAACTCAGAAATATTTCAGAAATAAAAACTTTCTTTTTTTTAAGATTAAGTAAACAAATCATTTTAGTTTTAATGTATGATGAACAAGTATAAAAGAGGGTGAATATTTTAAAAAAATACATAAGGAAGAAGAGCAGTCCATCACCTCAATATTATCATAAATTAAATCAAGTTTTTAGGATAAACTCTACAGTTTAACTCTCCTGTTTATTCATCTCAAAAAGACAGTAGTATTTTAAATTATTTACTAAAAAATTTTAATGTCTTAAAATATAAACACAAATTTGAAAACATTTCAAATTAAAGGACTACAGGAAAGTAACAAAGAAAGTTTCTTCATGTCACACAATGCCATAAATCTGCCGAAAACATTAGAAAGCTCTTGTTCAAAGACTTTTCTTAACATGAGAAAAATTTACCATTGGGCAATCTTTCATTTGGTGTTCTTCAGAACCACAATTGAAACAGTGAGGCTTTGGCCTATTTGGTCAAAAGACAAAGATTTTTATAACATAAATAAAAATATAAAAGCAAATCAATAAAATTCTATATGACAGCAAAGTGTATCAGAGAGACAAGAAAGCAAGTCAATCACAGATCACTAATATCTGCAGCAAGAAGTACACTTAAATCTCCTGTATTTAGTGATCTAAACAGTACTATGCAGAGTCTTTTAACCAAGAACCATTCTGTTCCTGACTGATCTGTTACCTCTTTTGAGTTTTTTCAGGGGCTAACAACAGAAGAATCGAGCCAAACAGATGATCATATTTCCGTTAACATGGAAAGAAGGAAGATGGTTATAAGACTACAATCAAATTGACAGCAACAATTATACCTTTCCACCCACCCCGGCACATTAGGAGAGAACCAGTGAATTTCAAGAAACATTTAAACATTTAATATATGTGTATGGATTGAAATTCTAGCTCAATCTGTAATTAACCTTAGAGTAAACCAGTGGTAAAGAACATTAACTTTTCAAGCCCAAAGTTCATGATTTTGGTTAAAAAAATAAATAAGTAAAACAAAACAACTCCCCACACAAACCTTTTTGCCTTTACTTGTATTTCTTGCCCTTCTAGAGAAACAATGTGGCTGAAGACTTGCTGGTACCTTTAGTGAATTTTATTAAGGAATAGGTATCATGGTCTGCAAAATTTGGAAATTGTTTTAAAGGTGAACTTAGTGGCAAGATGCATAAAAGATCTTCATTCACTATGTAGGATACTTGGGTATTTCCCATCCTTCGGAAAGCTGAGGGTTTTCATTTAGAAGCGGTTGCCCCAATTTATCAAGGCAAAAATTAGTAAAATACAGGACACTTCCTACAACCTGCAGAAAACAAGTCAAAAAATATTGCTATTTAAGCAGAAAAAAAAGACATTAAATAATCTAAGACTAACTGTTTTAACAATTTAATTTTGGATGGAATTACTAGAAATAATAACTTCCTAGTTATTAAGAAGACAGACTCTGATGTGTAAGTAGAAACTACATCACCAGTTCCCTCTCTCTCCTAGGTCACTGTTTTTCCTTTGTATTGGATCATGACTGTCGGCTGCATTCTCTCCAGAATTCAAACAAAAAATGAAAACCTTGACTTTCACATTTCTCTTCAATGCCCCATTTCATTGCTTCTCTTTGCAAGACATGCAGACCCTATAGTTATTGTTTCCATTTCCTTTCTTCCCATTCACTCTTTCCTTGTCCCTCCAATGTTTTTACAGAAAATTCCATACAGACAAGTAAGATAAGTGGTACAATGAACACCCAACGTATCCTTCGCTGAGATTAAACAATTGTTAGTAGTTTACCATTTCTGTCTGCATCTCTCTGTCTTTACAAATACACCTAACACACACATATACACTTTTTTGTTTAGAGACAGGGTCTCTGTTGCCTAGGCTGAATGAAGTGCAGTGGTGCAATCTTAGCTTACTGCAACCTCCGCCTGCTGCTCAAACGATCCTCCCACCTCAGACTGAGTTTCACTCTTGTTGCCCAGGCTGAAGTGCAATGGCGTGAGCTCGGCTCACCGCAACCTCCACCTCCTGGGTTCAAGCAATTCTCCTGCCTTGGCCTCCCAAGTAGCTGGGTATTACAGGCATGTGCCACCACGCCTGGCTAATTTTGTATTTTTAGTAGAGGCAGGGTTTCTCCATGTTGGTCTAGCTGGTCTTGAACTCCCGACCTCAGGTGATCTGCCCACCCTGGCCTCCCAAAGTGCTGGTATTACAGGCGTGAGCCACCTCACCCGGTCAAATTTTTTTTTCTTTTTTTTTTTGAGGCAAGGTCTTGCTCTGAGCTAAAGTGATCCTCCTGCCTCAGTCTCCCAAGTAGCTGTGCCACTACAAACAGCTAATTTTTTTTTGTTTTTAAAGAGATGGGGTCTTGCTGTGTTGCCCAAGCTGGTCTCAAACTCCTGGCCTCAAGCAATCCTCCCTCCTCAGTCTCCCAAAGTGCTGGGATTACAGGTGTTGAGCCACTGTGCCTGGCTTCCCCCATCTTTTTAATGACACTGCGCTCTCTCTTGAACATTTCCAGTATGCTTCTATATCTATCACAGGGCTGAGCTCCTGAACAATGGAGCCCTCCAATGACTTCCATGCAGCCAACTTCAACGGACAGTTCTCACTCTTCATCTTTCTTAATGTATCTGCAACAACTGACACGATTCTTCCTTCCTCCTAAAAACATCTTCCTTCCTTGGCTTCTAGGACACACTTCTCAGTTCTCTTTTTTCCTTCCTGGCTGAGCCTTGATCTTTTGTGCTAGATTCTTCTTATCCCTCTATCTTCCATGCATTAGAGTGTCCTAGTGCTCAGTTCTCAATCCTCCTCTCCACTTTCACTACCCAGGTGGTTCATCCTGACCCATGGTATGAAGTGTAATGTATATGCTTACTACTTTTAAAGGTCAAGTTATTATTTTTTAATTATTATTTTTTCACTGGGAGCATAGATTCAAATTGACCTGAATATATGTTCTCCTTTAAGGTCAAGTTCTGATCTGTCCTAAACTCCAGTTTTATATATGAAGTGTCAACTTGACCACTCTCAAGGGACGTGCAAGTGGCATCTCAAACTCACCTATTTAAAACTGCACTGGATTCCTAGCCCCCTTCAAACCTGCTCCTCCTCTAGTCTTCCCTATCACAGAAAATACAATGACATTCTTCCAGATGCTTAGGCCAACAACCTGAGTCACTCTGATTACTCTCCTGCTCTCATATTCTACATCCAGTTCATCGGCACATTTGATCAGCTCCACTTCCCCAGTATACCCACATTCTTTTTTTTTTATTTTATTTTTTTAAAGACGGGGTTTCACCATGTTGGTCAGGCTGGTCTTGACTCCTGACCTCAGGTGATCTGTCCGCCTTGGCCTCCAAAGTGCTTGGATTACAGGCGTGAGCCACCATGCCAGGCCTCAGCATACCCACACTCTAACCACCTCTCAGCAGCACCACTCTCACCCCAGTCTCAGTACTATTTTGTCTCACCTGAGTTGAATACAATAACTTCCTAACTGGTTTTCAGCTTCCATGCATAACCAGCTACAGACTATTTTCCACACAGAATCCAGCTCTTTTAAAAAGTCAATTCATATCATGTCACATTTCTATTTAAAACCCTCCACAGCTTCTCCTCTTACAGTAAAATCTGAAGTCCTCATTACAGCCTATTGGACAACATGAACATTCAGATCTTGTGCTCCAGACTCCAAGGGCCTGGCTTTTCTTTTTTTTTTGAGACAGTCTTCCTCTGTTGTCCAAGCTGGAGTGCAGTGGTGGGATCTCAGCTCACTGCAACCTCCGCCTCCTGGGTTCAAATGATTCTCCTGCCTTAGCCTCCCAAGTAGCTGGGATTACAGGTGTCAGTCAGCACGCCCTGCTAATTTTTGTATTTTTAGAAGAGATGAGGTTTTACCATCTGGCCAGGCTGCTCTTGAACTCCTGACCTCAGGTGATCTGCCTGCCTTGGCCTCCCAAAGTGCTGGGATTACAGGCGTGAGCTGCTTGCACTAGGCCAAGAGCCTGGTTTTAAACTCTGCCCTGGCTTTGCCACTTACTAATCCACTGGCAAGTTACTTAGCTTTCCATCTGTTTCTTCACCTGTACAACTGAAGCCTAACAGTACCTTCATGAGCAATACCTGTAATGAGCTTAGAACTTACATGCCAGGTAGTGCTCCTGTCTTGGGGCTTTCTACTTACGTTTCCTACTGCCTACAGTGCCTTATTCAAACCACAGCCTCCGCTCACTCTCTTAATTCATCTAAGGCTTGGCTCAGAGAAGCTGTCAGTCACTATACAAACCACTTACCCCACAGCTACTCTTTAACTGCTTTCCCTGCTTTATTTTTCTTCAGGGCTCTGCCTTCCCTGACTAGAAAGTAATTAAACGACGGCTGGGACTTTGCCCTTTTTTTCACTTCTGTCTCCATGGAACCTAGAAGGGTCCCTGCGACAAAGTAACATTCATTAAATATTTTCATATTTGTTAAAGGTCTAAATTAATAAATAAATAAAATTCCCAGTTTCTAGGCAGGTGCCACTTTAAATCCCAGAACCTCAGGGTCAGAAGGAAAATGAAAAATTACCTCATTCAAATTCAGAAATTTCTTTTTAAAGTGCCCTGATAACATCTCAGTTCCTATTTGACTCCAGTAACACTGAATTCATTTTTATAAATGAGAAGTGCCACTTCACTTCTTTTTTTTCTTCTTTCTTTTGAATGACCGTCATATTATTTTTTACATCTCTGATGAAAATTCAAGCTTTCTAAAAGTTGAGTTGAAATGTAACTTCTTGTACTAAATTCAATCACTGGTCTTAATTCTGTCACTTGGCACTTTAAAAGGTAATTTAAAATAACTTTTACTGTCTTACAAACAGGCTTTATCCTATTTGTAGAGACGGGACATCCCTTGCAAATCTTCCTTTCAATAAAGTTTGTGGGCTCTTCATCAACCCAGTAGGCCCATATCGTTTCCAAATATACATACATACATTCATACACACACACACATATATATCTTTTTTTTTTTCTCCTGTTTGGCTAATTTTTTTTTTTTTTTTTTTTTTTTTTTTTTTTTTTTTTTTTTTTTTTTTTTTTTTTTTTTTTTTTTTGAGACAGAGTCTTACTCTGTCGCCCAGACTGTAGTGCAGCAGCATGGTCTTGGCTCACTGTAGCCTACCTCTCCTGGGTGCAAAGTGATTCTCATGACTCAGCCTCCCCAGAAGCTGGGACTACAGGTGTGCACCACTAAGCCTGAGTAACTTTTATATTATTAGTAGAGACAAGGTTTCGTCATGATGGCCAGGCTGGTCTCAAACTCCTGACCTCAAGTGATCCATCTGTCTCAGCCTCCCAAAGTGCTGAGATTACAGGTGTGAGCCACTGCACTCAGCCACAGTTGGCTAATTTCTTAGGAATTTTTTGTAGAAATGAGTTCTGGCTATGTTGCTTAGGCTAGTCTGGAACTCCTGGACTCAAGTAATCTTCCCACCTTGTCCTCTGAGAGCACCAGGATTACAGGTGTGAGCCACTGCACCCAGCCTAAAATTGTGGTATATTAATACAGCATAATACTACATAAATGTGAAAACTAGTTTTCCTTCAATATTATAGAATCCACTATTACCTTTTAAAATATTACAAGCTACAATATCATACTACTACATTGTATTAACACTACTGAATTTTGCATAGATATTGAAAGGCTGTAGCCTAAATGGAGGTCATCCTTGTTAACTTCTGCTATTTTTTCACCCACCATTTAAACCTGTCAACACTTGAAATTCCAAATTTGCTATCTGTTATATTAGCTACCTATCCCTCTCAGCTTTAGCCATGTATAAGTTCAACAAGCAAGACTTCTATATCTCTTCCCCCAAGTTCTTGAAAAAACAAAGCGGTTGGTCAATACAAAAATAAAGTTCTCCAGGCTGGGAGCGGTGACTCACGCCTGTAATCCTAGCACTTTGGGAGGCTGAGGTGGGTGGATCACGAGGTCAGGAGTTCAAAGACCAGACTGGTGAAACCCTGTCTCTAAACAAAAAAACAAACAAAAGTTCTCCAAAGTATGTTTTACTGTGCCCCAGGTTCACAATCATTATTAAAAAGCAAACTGGCCGGGTGTAGTGGCTCACGCCTGTAATCCCAGCACTTTGGGAGGCCAAGTCAGGTGGATCACCAGGTCAGGAGTCAGACCAGCCTGGCCAACATGGTGAAACCCAGTCTCTACTAAAAATAAAAAAATTAGCCTGCATGGTGGCACGCACCTGTAGTCCCACCTACTTGGGAGGCTGAGACAGGAGAATTGCTTGAACCTGGGAGGCAGAGGTTGCAGTGAGCCAAGACTGTGCCACTGCACTCCAGCCTGGGTGACAGAGCAAGACTCTGCCTTGGGAAAAGAAACAAAAAACACTGTAATATTTAGAGGATAAAGTCCAAACTGCTATTTACCACACAGAAAGATGCTATAATCAAGTGAAGACATATGACTATACTACTTTATTTTTTAAACACCACCCAGTTGACACAGGATAGAAAACACCTATTGGCAAAATTCAAAACTGAAATGTCCAAACTTACACTGAAAGCTTCCTTGTTGTTTTTCATGGCACAGGACTCTTCCACTTTATGGTCCTCTTCTAGCACAATACTGGATGGCTAATACAAAGAAAAACGCATATTACAAAGGGTAACCAATTTTTAACAAGTTTACATTTCAAATCTTAGGAAGTTGAATACACTTATTTTCCAACAAACACCAATAAGATATGTAGAATTTCAAATTTGGTGAGTTTATTAATTAACGTAAGAATGTTTATGAACGACATTTCTTGTGGGAGAATGGAAGAAGATGTAAAAGGAGAGCTGCTTCTGAAGCATTAGCATGCACCATGGCTTTTTTTTTAACTAATGTTACTTATGCCACTTTCAACACTTAAACAGGCAAGGCAGATAACCAGAAAGATAAAAAATATATAGTTTTACGTTATTGGTCAATACTGATAAATATAACCCTCACAGACCTCAAGCTACTACAGAAGTTTCCCTGAATCAAAAATAATATTCAGTATGCTTTTTATTGTTAAATGTATTTTGTTTGCTGAATTGTTAAAAACTGTATAGAATACATAAAAACCAAAGGTGATAAAAAAAGGAATCAATCAGAACATTCTGTTATCCAAAGCCTGAGGATAAACAGCTAAAGCTCCTTATTTGAGAGCTTCTACTTACCTTAATTTTCAATTTTAAAAAAAGACCTAGAAATCATAACTCTGACTCTTCTTTTTTTAAAACATAAATGCATAATCTAATATTCACATAGTAAAACTTCTCAGATTTCTTTGGGCACACAATTGTTCTAAAAACAAGTAGAGGGAAAAAAGGATAGCACACAAACCTGTTGGTTTTAGATAAAAGGAATCCATCTTTCACAAACCCCAGAAACTCAGGTTATTTTCGGGCCTAGAATTAATTTTCTGCCCAAAACCACATGTCCACGTTAGGCAATGTAAAAAGTCTGAGCCACAGTCTAAAAGAACGCCGTGTGGCTAAACCAGTCAGACTTCGAAAAAGAAAGCTAGTGGAAGGAGGGAGGTGACTAGTCTTAATCATTCTGGTTTTGATTCAAGAAGATCCTTGTGGCCCAATAATTGGCAGTGAAACCCATAACCTACTAATCTTAAAGTCTCTTAAATTTGAAATACCTGGGGCAAAAGATTAAAGGAAGTCTTTTCCACATCATTTTTCTGCTGTTCCTCAAATCTTTTTACTAAATTTGATACAAATTCCTCTATTTCTTGATGATATTGCCTGTGTAAGAGGACAAAATGGTCAGAACCCAGACAGAATAAAACATTCAATAGACTGAAGTCTTATGCATTACTATAAGATGCCAAGTTCGAATGCTGTTATTTTGTTTTTCAGAAGTCTATCAAATCATTGACTCTTTGTAATACTCAGGAACATATTCCTTAAGGTAAAATTACACATTGTTGCCAAGTTAGTGAAATGATGATGATAAAGTAACACAGGGATTGGCATAACTGTCAATCAGTTGCGCAAAGAATACATGGATTTTATTTATAAATTCTACGTACTTAATTTTTAAATAGATACTACATGTAAATGGTTCAAAATCCAAAAGAAGTAAAAGGGTTACATAATGGAAAGCTCCCTTTCTACCCTGTCT